CTTTAAATTATTGCATTGTTTGTGAATCCTTTTTAATCCCAAAACAAAATTTGATGTATCATACATCTTTTGGGTGTTAAGGCACTCCTACGCCTAATTACTGCATTCTGCGGCAATTTGCAGCTACAACCAAGGACTTCTATTGAATATATTGTTATATCATATTTGATTAATTAATTATTTTTGCTGTAATTATTATGAAAAAATACCTTTGTGGAAAACTGGTGTCAGAATAAGTGACTTTTAACCTGCACTTGACAATCTTAGGAGTGCTGCAAAAATCTTTTTCAAGGTTTTTAAGCTTTCATCTCCTAACTAAGAACATAAGATTCGGATTTTCTAACAGAACAAATAAATTTCTCGTATACTTTTTGTGTTTTGTGTAATTACCTTAAACTGAAAAGTTATAAGTAAGGATAGTTTCAGATGAAAAGCAAAAACTAATTTCTAAATAGACAGATTATTGATGCATGGCATCGTGCCTTAAAGCAAATTCCTGAAACTTTCCGTACCAAAAATTAAATTTTTTAAAAAAACTTTAAAGTATTTTGAAAATTTTAAAAACTTTAGATAAGAAATATAGAAACGTGTAAGCGCCGCGTCGCAATCTAACGGATAAACATTGTTACGGAAACCATAGAAATGTAAACAAAATTTATACTTATAATTAAAATCTTTATAAAGTATATGATAATTTGATTTGCATATGTCTAATGATAAACGACGTTTTTTTACTTTTTTCACTGATATCTGAAACCGCTGCACCTGCCTCCCATACATTTTACTAGGTTTTCATTACGTCAATACAAGTAAAAATGTTTTTTGAGGAATCGGACGCTCCGTTCTTTCAAAAACTGAATTACCATTTTTGGCACTTTTTGCCCCCTATCTTCGAAAGGGCTGGACCTGCCTTAGCTAAAAACCAATCAGCACGTGTCCTTATCAATTTGAATCATTCAAATCGGTTGAACCGTGTCCCCGAAATCATCGACGAAAATTTGTATCCGAACACACGTACATCCATTTTTTCTAATCGTAAGTTATGCCAAAATGTTCAGAAACCTCTGAAACTTAAAGATACATAATTATTTTTATTTTCGATTTTTTTGCGATTACTATAACTTACCCTGCGGGAAGTTAAAAATGTTAACTAAATAGCTAGACCTTGATTCTTATTGAATAACTATGTAAGTATGTATATATTATTTTTACATTTCGGGCAAGTTCATGCAACTTGCTTTAAGGTAAAATTCCACTTAAAACTACTTATTAACTTCCCGAAGGAGAAGTTTGTTTTCATCAAAAAATCCGATTCGCTAATTTTATTAATTTATCGACGTTTCAAATCATTCTGTATCGAATGAGACCAAATTTTGAAAAAGTATGTGTGTGTGCAGGACCGGTCCTGGGCTCCTTAGCGCCCGCATGCAACTTTTTTTCTAGCGCCCCCCCCCCCCTATTAATTTTCACCGTTTTAACAGTTGTCATTAAAATTATTTAAATATTTACATATTTTTAAAAAAATTATTTTTAACTAGCTGTAAGTGGAATTCTGTCTTAAGGCAATTAAGGCATCGTGCCTTAAGGCAAATTGCTGGAACTTCCCGTACCAAAAATTATTATTTTATTTCCTAAAATTTTTTTCAAAAAAAAATCTATTTTTTTTTTTTTTTAAATTGTTTTTGGAAAAAATAATGTTTTCTTTATTTTGACATATTTTGGAAGATTTTTTTTTCAAAGCAATCGTACTGCTTTAACTGCATAAAGACAAAATGTCAAAGCGCGTAAGCGCCGCGTCGCCGTCTAACGAATAAATATTGGTACGGAACCCATAGGAATGCAAACAAAATTTATGCTTATTGTTAAAATCTCTATAAAATATCTAATAATTTGATGTGCATATGTCTAATGATCATTTTTGAACGCCAAATGGCATTTTTTTTTACTTTTTTCGTTAGATCTCCGAAACCGCTAGACCTGCCTTTATGAAAATTTGATCAATTCTTCATCTTGTCAATACAAGTCAAATGTTTTTTGAATTATTAAAATCGGACGCTCCGTTCTCTTAAAAACTGAGTTACCGTTTTCGGCACTTTTTGCCCCGTATCTTTAGAACGGCTGGACCTGCCTTCGCCAAAAACTAATCAGCACGCCTCCTTATCAATACGAATCGAATGTTTTTTGAATTATTGAAATCGGTTGATCCGTGTTCCCGAAATCGTCGACGAAAATTTGTATCCGCACATACATACACACACATACATACATACATACACACACACACACATACACACACACACACACACATACATCCATTTTTTCTAAGGTATGCCAAAATGTTAAGAAACCTTTGAAACGTAAAGATATATAAAAATTTTCATTTTCGATTTTTTTGCGATTACTATAACTTACCCTACGGGAAGTTAATTATTCTGGATTTAGTACACAAAAAATACATATAATCTAGAAGGGTATAAAATATATTGATTTTAAATTTATTTATTATTATCGATATCAATAAATAAAACAATCCCTGTCATAATTTCACATTTTAGTAATATTCAATATGTAGTAAATTGGTTAAGGATGTAAGTTCGACTACCATAGCAAAAGAATTAATATTTTTATTAGATTAAAGTTATAGAATTTAAGAAATGCATTTTGATATAAAGATCTTGATATCAAAATAATAAATACTATTTCTGAAATGCATTTCCTAAATTCTATAACTTTAATTTAACAAAAATATTAAGTGAAATAAATATTATTGATATCGTAAGAGCCGTCATATTCAGAGTATCAGCTTGTTGTTTTAAAGATAAATTTTTAACGTATTTTAGAAGTATTGTTAAAAAATCAGTAAAAAATGTAAAGAAATTACACATTTCTTATTATATTTGATATGTATTATTTCTGTATAGTTAATAATTATTAAATTTAGAGTATGGACAACACTAGATATAAAACAAGCCTTAAAATTGTTGTTCCAAAGTAAATTTTGCTTCCATTTTTCATATTTGTTCCACGCATGTCTTCAACATTCAAAGTTCAACAAATGCAAAACATTTGCAACAAAAGCAAAAGTTACAATTCACTTTCTCGGAATAAACAAGTCATTTTCTAAGCACTGACTCTCAATTTTTTACAATTTGTTTATATTTTTTAACAAGTTTCGATTCAACTAAATCAGCTCGCAATTTTTCGTCAATAATGCCCAACAATTAATTTAATCTTTCGCAGGTTTGCGCTTACGGGATTGAACACTAAATAATTTCTTTTCCGATTCCACGGTAACTTCAAACAAAGAAAAAATGAATAAGTAGATTAAGCAATAAACAGAGCTGTTATTTACTAATTTGCAGAATTATTAATCGGTTAATTGTTTCTACTGATATCACATTGCAAAATAAATATGCTTTTTGTGTCTCAGTATCTCTAGTTAAGTTAAATTAATTATTATAATTTATTAAGTATTCTAGATTTTAAATAAATAATTCTAGATTTTATATAAAAAAATATAAATATTATATTATAAATTTAATTTCCGAAACTCGTTTTGGCGCCACCTAAGACTTGCGCCCGCATTTTTTGCATGCATCGCATGCAAGGCAGGACCGGCCCTGTGTGTGTGTGTGCGTATGCGCGTGTGTGTATGCGTGTAGGTGAACAGGTTTTTTACCGAAAATCGACCTTTTCTCAAAAACGGCTGGACCGATCTCAAAAATGAATCGGTAATCGTGCTAATTAGTTTTTGGTAAAGATTCGCTGGCACAATTTCTTATAATTACCTATTGAAAGTTTTTTTTCGACGATTTTTATGATTTTTTTTGACGATAGATATCATGGTCTTCTAGATCATACTAAAATATTACGGCTCTACGACAAGTCGTTTAATTTTAAAAATTCTTCAAAGTTTGCAAAAATTAGTATCGTTTCTTTGGCATTTGCCAAAATTAGACCTTTCATCGACGTTTGCTAAAAAACGCCTGAACCGATTTCAAAAATTTAAAAGCCATTTGATGTATCTCAATGACGATCTGCTGTTCCGTTTCTTTGTAATTTGGAAAAAAGTCTAAAACTTTTCGTCACCATTAAGCTCATACTACCGAATCGATTTTAAAAAATCGAAAACTATTCGAAAGATATTAGTTGAGAATGATACTGATTCTACCGAGAAAATCTACCGAGCCGTTTCCTTGTAATTAACTGTTGAAAAAAAATTTAAGTCGATTTCTATGAAACTTTTTTTTAGCGATATATATCATGGTCTTATAGAACTTACTGAAATATTACGTCCTTACGACAAGTAGTTTGAGAAAATAGTAGTTTTTTTGACGTTTGTTAAAATTAAAATTATACGATTTCTTGGCACAACGATAGAGTACTTGGTCTTATTGAACATACTAAACCATTAAAATCCTACGGAAACTAGTTCAATTATAAAAATTATTGATTTTTGAAATTTTGCTTTCAGAAAAAATACATTCATAGTCTCAAAATATTCTAAACATTTTATAATCAATTTACATTGCAAGTGGTGACTGTTTTATACGCATGGCAAATATAGTTACTCGTTATTACACAAAATTGTGTCACTTCTCCATGACGAGTATATTCGTCAATCACAGTTAACTGATGGTCAAAGATGCTGGTCATATAATTATAGGTTCATGAACCTATAATTATGGTTCAAATACGATTAACCGTTGATATTAATTATTGAATGATTTGTCAAAAATTCAAAAGCCTTAACTTATCTAGATCATCTAAATTAATTGATTAATTCATTGAAATTTAATGTAACGTATTTCCTCTTATGACATACCATAACGATCTGTAGGAATTGTTGCACTTTGTATATGTTGATGTCGATGGTTAAAATCATAGGTTAAAATAATCAACATAACCTGTATTGAAATGTATCATTGTAAACATTCCATCAAATAACAATTTAAAATTATGTTTTACAATGACAACTAAAAATACCGTTTGGACGATTATATGTAATATATTAAGATAATGTTCAAGCATATTAATATTACTAATAACAACTAAATAAAAGGAAGGAAAATGGATAGTGCACAAAATGAGAGAAAACCGATTTGTCATTGGCTAAATGTAAGAACTCCTATAGAAAATTTATTTGGCAGGTAAAATTTATGACTTACGATTTTATTTAACTGATATTAATAACCTTATTATTCATTACAGACTTGGTTTTATGATAGCCAGTAAACCGTGGTTTGTAATATGGTTTATGTTATTCTTGGTAATTGTTAGTTCTTTAGGACTGTTCAAATTTAAACAAGAGAAAGACCCATTAAAATTGTGGATAGATCAAGATTCTGCTTTCGTTCGAGACACAAATTGGTTGTTGAATACATTTATCGAAGGATATAGACAGCAGAATGTCTTAATAACTGCTGATAATGTGCTGGATCCTTTTGTTTTAGAACAGGTTATATGATAAATTTCACTTGAAATATTTAATACATTTTCTTTCATGTTTAGTAATATAACTTATTCTAAGCGTTAAAAACTATAAACATATATAAAACATGAAATTTTCCTATGTTAATAGGACATAAATGAAATCAATTTTAAATTTTTTTTCTTATTTTTTATTTATGCATCTGTTGCAGGTTGCTCGAATTAATGATCAAGTCTTAGCAATACAAACTGAAAACGAAAATGGTATTGAAGTGCCATGGAATAAAACGTGTTTCAAGTAAATATAGCATCACTATAGACATTAACGTTTGCATAAATAATATCATATTGTATTTTTTAGAGTGCCTATAGTTCCTACAAAATTACAATCATATGCAAAAGGTTTATCAAATACATCGAATATTATCCCTGATCTCAGCGCCACTTTGCCAATTGGGTTGTACTGCATGATAGTTAATAGTTTGAAACTGGGTTGTCTACAATACAATGTAGTTGATATGTGGAAATATGACTTAAAAACTATAAAAAGTTTGACTCTTGACGATGTGCTAAATAAATTAAATACTACTATTCAAAGGTATTTATTTATTTATTTATTCACATGTTTTATGTATTTATGTTGCTCTTATATGAACATATGATTAAAATTTATACAAACATTTATGCTTAAGATACTAGCTTATATTTAAGCAGGTATTTTGGTCTAGACTCACGAATTGATTTTTGAAAGGTCATAAGAAGAAGCAAACAATGTTTTTATTATATTTTTTGTTGCACTTAATTAATTAATGTTTTGAGAATGTATAAAAAATTAAAAACAGTCATAAAATTGGCACTTAACCATATCCATGATTTTAGTCCTCCAAATAATCTAAAGAAAAATACATATATATTACTAATTTATAATAATGTCACTGTCGCATAAACTACGGACAAGTATTTGTCTGAAAAAATTGACTGTCTGAGAATTCAAACTAGTAGTGTATGGCATCGTGTCTTGGTAAATTGCTGGCACTTTCCGTATCAAACATTAAATTTTTAAAAAAAGATTAAATATGTTTTAAACTTTGAAAAAATTAGATTTTTAAGAAATTTAAAATTTTTGCAAATTTTTGGAAAAAAATGTTTTTTTTTTTAGTTTGAAATATTTTGGAAATTTTGAACTTTTTTCAAACAATTGCACCGCATAGAGACGCAATATCGAAGCGCGTAAGCACCGCGTCGCCGTCTAACGGACAAACGATGTTACGAAACCCACAGAAATGTAAACAAAATTGATACACATATTAAAATCTCCATGAAATATCTGATAATTTGATGTGCATATGTCTATTGATCATTTTTGACCTCAAAATGGCATTATGTTTACTTTTTTTACACGACCTCCGAAACCGCTAGACCTGCCTTCCCTCAGTTTTAATCAGTTCTTCATCTTGTCAAAAACTAATCAGCACGTCTCCTTATTAATAGGAATCGAATGTTTTTTGAATAATTAAAATCGGTTGAACGGTGCTCCCGAAATCGTCGACGAAAATGTGTATCCGCACACACTCACATATATCCATTTTTCTTAAGGTATGCCAAAATGTTCAGAAACGTCTGAAACGTAAAGATATATAAAAAAAATTATTTTCGATTTTTTTGCGATTACTATAAATTGCCTTACGGGAAGTCAATTAACCTTTTTTGATATTCTCAATTTTTTTAGAAGTAGTAAAAATTGGAATTTGGGGACAATCAGTAGTTCATACTGATGAGAAATCTATAATGAACGTCCAGTAGAAGTGGAGAAACCGTGGGTATCGTATCGATACCCACAGTTTTGAGAAAAACTGCGTTTAAAGTTTCATGGCGAAAGGAAAGAGAAGAGGATTATCGTGGTCAAACAGCTATATTTGCGAAAATAATTTAAATTTCGGAAAATCCTCTTCAACACAAATTCTTTGAAATTATTTAACAAAACATAACCGTTTTTTTAAATTCTAGACCACAATACATCCTTAGAAGATTTATTCTAGTATTTCCAAATATGATTCGTTCTCAACTTCTGAGCGTCAATTATTAAGTTATTTAAGAAATTTTTTTTTTCAAGTCCAACATTGGGACATCCCATGAATTATGCGAATTTTCTTGGGGGAGTTGAAAGGAATATCAGTGGACATATAATTTCAGCTAAATCAATTTTAACAACATGGTTTTTGAATGTTAACTTCTCACAAGTTAATACTGATAAAATTGGCAATGATGCTGGTACTGAAAACATGGTAAATATGCAATAATATATATTTTTTTTGATTACCATATATTGTTAGTGTATATTATATGTTTCAGGCAACTAATGAAGTTTTAATATGGGAGGAAAAATTTTTACACTTAATGAATAATATTTCTCAACATTCTGAAAATTTTTCAGTGTTTTATCAAGCTGGTCGCAGGTGAGATAATTTAGTATTGTAAAAGTCATTGATGAATAATAAAATGATGTTGAGAATGGTTTGCAATATTTTGTAGTTACGGTGACATAAGCTCTGCGACAATGTTTGAGGACATAGATAAAATAATGATTGGAGTTGTGTTAATGTGCATTTATGTCCATATAGTAATTTCTCAATGGAATTGCGTCTACCAAAGAGTAAGAAACCTAATATCCCATTGATAGTCCATAAATATGTAGTAAAAAAGCATTTTTTTTAGTTCACTCTAGGAAGCATGGGCATGTTTAGTATTGGAATATCTTTTTTAATGACCATCAGTTTATGCTCTTTATTTGAACTATCCTATGGACCTGTTCATACTTCTTTACCATTTTTACTAATGGGACTAGGTAATTAAAGAATCGCCATATTTATATATATGTATATATATATATATATATATATATATATATATCTAACAAATGTATTCTGAGTGAATAATAGATATTAATTTGGAAATAAGAATAAACAACACTCTTTTTTGCGCTAATTTATTAAATAATAATTTTCACAAACGTTTCGAGATACGATATACAGTATATGATGCAGGGGCTCGGATATATATATAAGCACTATATACTTTTGCTAGTTTCTATACATGTTACTGACAGTTATTTGATTTTTTGAAGGTATTGATGATATGTTTGTTTTACTTGCTTGCTGGGAAAAGGTTTCATTCAAGACAAATGGTCTTTCACTTCCGCACAAAGTTACAATTATGCTAAGGGAGGCAGGAATGGCAGTAACAGTAACTACTTTCACAGATATGGCAGCATTCATAGTCAGTTCAATAACTGTAAGTTCAGTTTTACTCACTCGTAATCACTAACATTGTAATTGTTAATGATCTGTCTTTTTAGGTTTTGCCATCACTTCATTCTTTCTGTTTGTATGCTGCTGTCGGAGTTTTTATAATTTATATTTATACAATAACTTTTGTAGTTGCTTGTTTTGCACTAGATCAACGAAGGATTGATAATAATTATAATGGATTTATTCCCTGCATCAAACATGAAAACTATGTTCCAAATACTTGTAGTCAAACAAAATTTTTAGAAATGTTTTTGTCAAAACTCTATTCTCAAGTAATATTGACGAAATTTGGAAAAGTAAGTTGTGACCAGTGAACTGTTTTGAAATTATACTGAAGATGAGGCATACCATGGTTTTGAAACGTCTGTAATTATTAAATATATAAGCGTGTGTTAAAAATCTGAGTGTTGTATTGTTCATATTTAACATTTAATATTTGTTCCACTCATATCATAAAATTCTATAGTATATATATATATATATATATATATATATATATATATATAATAATTACTCATATTATTGCTTAATTTTGTTATTTACGTTTTTTTTTTCAATTCTTTTATTTAACATTTGAGAGAATACTACCCAGAGAACTTAAATAATATATAGGGTGTTCTAGAACCGACCGGATGATAGTTTTAATCGTAACTATCATAAAAAAATTATTCCACATAGTTTGAAGATTATGCTTTAAAGCTTTAAAGTGCAGCCAGCTTTAGTCAAATTGTGACCATTTTTTGTTTTTTTTTATTTTGTTCATCTTTGGATCCATAATCGTAAATAACATATCTAAGATCATAGTCTAAAATAATGATACAATTGACCCAAGTTTTCCAAAAATTTCGCGCTTTTGATGAAACTCCGGATTGTAAAATGGTGAAGTACTTGATAGTTTCATAATAAAAAAAAAAACTAGTAATAAAAATAAAAACTCGTAAATGAATAAACACTTTAGAACTTTTTTTTAATAAAGGGGTGCTTACAAAATAGACCAATTTTGAAAATTTTAAATTCATAGTTTAACAGATAGTCTTAATTCTACAATATTTTGGGCATTTATGTCATTTTTTTCACTGTGTTTCTAGAAATGCTATTTATGATTACAGATCCAAAGTTCATATGAACAAAATTAATAAAAATCAACCACAATAAGAGAAAAGTGGTCACAGTTTGACCAATTTTTTTGATTGCATTTGAAAGCTCATATTACTATCACACCATTTCAGCTTGACATTGAGTTCTGGAACACCCTATATATATATATATATATATATATATATATATATATATATATATCAAGCTTTATTTTTCAGATTATAGTTTTAATATCAACAATAGCATTTGCAGCATTATCTATAAAAAATACATTATTGCTTGAACAAAAGTTTGATCCTATGTGGTTTATACCAGAAGATACACATCTTTTCAAGTATATAGAAAAAAGAAGAGAATATTATCCACAAATAGGTAAGATTAAAACAATATTATACAGTTATGTATATATTCAATTGTATTGAAATGTTATTTTTTATTGATGAAGGTTTTGAAGCTGTCGTTTTTATAGGAAACTTGAATTATAGCACTGAATTTAAAAAAATTATAAAATTAGAAGAAACTTTACAGCATCAAAATGTTATAAGTAATATAGATTCATGGATTATTCCATTTTGCCAGTATGTCAAAATTAATTTTAATACAGGTATATTCAATATTTATAATAAATGGCAAAATTGTCTTTAATTTTGTTATTAACAACTCTTAGATTTGAATAGTACTGATGTATCGGATGCCACTTGGAATTTGTACTTGTCTAAATATTTGCATAGCCCCTCTGGTGCAAAGCAGATGGGAAAATTCAAATTTTCTGAACCTCTCAAATGTGGCAAACCAGTTTCTAATATTAAGGTATTGAAGCCAATAATCTTTAATGCAATTCATCGCAAATGCGATGATTTTATTTTAATTTAGTATTTCAAAGAACTGATTTATTTTTGTTTATCAAGCACAACTTTATTATTAAAGATATTATAAGAACAGTTTAAGCATAAACGTGTAATACATTTTTTAAACATATCAAATTTATTTATTAAGTGATGAAATTAGTTAATAAATAAAATAAATTATAATTTTGAATTAAAGATAAATATTATATTTCTGTGCTATATTACAGGCATCTAGTATTCATTTTCATTTGAAGAGATTTAATAATACAGTAGATAGTATTAAAAGTATGAATCAACTGCGCAAAATTACTAATGAAGCAAACTTTACAACTGGTGATAAATTTTGCACAGTTTGGGCAAATATGTTTGCCACCTGGTCTACCGATGAGGTGAATTAATTCATACGATTCATATATATTTTTCTTTATCAATATTTCTGTATTATTTTCTAGATTATTGCAATAGAAATTAAGAAAAACTTGTTACTATCCTTGGGCTGTGTGATGCTTTGTGCGTTAGTTTTCATATCTAATTTTAATATTTGCTTCTGGATATTTCTATGTGTTTTACTTACTGTGGTGAGTTATTGAATTTGGAAAACGATATTGATTATTACAGCAGTTTAAAGATCAGGCGTTACATCAATAAAAAATTGTATGAATGTTTTAAATTTTTTTTGAAATCCATACATTTTGGCTAGCCTCCTAATCTTCATTCAGTGGAATATAACTATAACAATTAATCTAAGTAATATAATATGTAACAATTCAAGAATAATAATAATAAACTAATCTAAAAACACAATTTGGTATCCTTATATTACAATTAATGAAAATACATTCTCTTACCATGGAGCAATAGTGTTTTCATTAATTGTAATATAAGGATACCAAATTGTTAGTGGTTTTAAATTAGTTTATCATTATAATTATCATTATGAAATTGTTATATATTATATTTCTTTGTTTAATTATTATAATTATATGCCACTGAATGAAGACTAGGATGTTAGTCGAAATATATAGGTTTCAAATAAACTTGTAAAACACTTGTACAATTTTTTATTGATGTAACACCAGATCTTAGATATAAAGTTAAATATATAATATATGTATATCTTTTTCAAAGCTTACATGCAGTATTTTTTTTTATTTAAAAGTGATTTAATATTGAACAATAAAAAGTAAAAATTACTGAAAGAGTATGAAACCTTTTTTGCAGGTCAACGTTAGTGGATGGATGTATGTTTGGGGTTTAACATTAGACCTTGTCTCATGTATTGCACTTCAATTATCAGTAGGCTTATGCATTGATTATTCAACCCACATTGGGCATGTATTTTTAACAATGGAAGGAAGCACTAGAACCAAAATTTCAATAAACGTTATGAAACATATTGGAGCTGCAGTTATATATGGAGGTGGATCTACCATGTTGGCTTTGAGTACGCTTGCATTCTCAAAAGCTTACACATTTAAAGCATTTTTTAAGGTACATTTTAATAAATAGAACTAATAATAAACAAAAGTTGATATATTTTGTGATGACATGAATATTTTATTTTCAGATATTTTTTTTAATTATAACATTTGGATTGTATCACGGTCTCATATTTTTACCAGTAATATTATCCATATTAGGGCCAATACGAAAAAAGCATAATAAAGATAAAATAAATATAGAAGATGATACTGGTAAAGACACAATGCTTAAAGCGGATGATGAAACTAATGATCAAAGTGAAGCTATGGCATTATGATAAAAACTACATTAACTTTCTTATTGATTTCAGCTGGTAGCTCTTTCGTTAAGGGGGTATTCTGGTCTAGAGTTAAAATAAAAATCGATTTTGTTTTTTTTTTCTTTTTGGATACTTTCAAACCTAACTATTCAAGAATATGTGTACAAGAGGAGTTTTCAAAATGTATGATAATCCTTCCAATTTAGTTAAAATTTTTACATAGCTTACTTTACAGACTTCTCTTCGGTATATCATCTCCACATTCCTATTTTTAAAAAATTCAAGGATATCAGCAAAAACTTGTGAACTTGTAAAAAAAACTTTTAACTTGTCCATAGTTCATACCAATATCAAAATTATTCTGCATTAATTATATATATATATATATATATATATATATATATATATATATATATATATATATACACCTAAGTCTGTTTTTACACGGAGATTGGTTCCAGAAGAATCCGTGTAAAAAAAAAAAAACATGTAAAAAAAGACATTGATCTTATACAAAAATGGGTGATTTGTTCCTAATCTCTAAAACCTATTAAAATTGGTGAAAAACAAGAATTTTTAAGAACAAGAATTAAATTAGTGCTTTTCACATTTGCTTTGACCAGTAAAAATTGTTTGTACGCACTAGAAGGGGAATTTACTTAAATCTTTAAGCTAGTGTTCGCAAACTATCGATACTATCGATGGTTTCAGACTTTTTTCTTTCATAAATAGTTTTTTGTGATATGAACATACTTCACAAAAATTTAATTTGACAAAAAAAATTTAGGTACATAAAATTTCAAATCGAGCTAAATGGAATAAATTCGTGTAAAAAAATTAAAAATATTCAATTTTCAAACCGTGTTATATCAAAACCGTGTACAAAAAGACCGTGTAAAAACAGACTTAGGTGTATATATATATATATATATATATATATATATATATATATATATATATAGGCCCAATTTTTGAAGACTCCCCACTTCATCACCTTTCTAATATTGATTATGACTATTTTTTAATTTTTTATATACTCTCTAAATATTAATTAATAATGTTTAATAAAAAAAATTCAAAAATATTATTTGCCTCTAGCCCAGAATATTCCCTTAAGGTTTTTATTCTCTTGATTTTTGCTTGTTTTATCAACTTTTTGTATAATTAAGTTTTTTATATAAAATATATAGTAAAAGACTAAAAAAATCTCTCAATATAAATTTTAGTAAATTTAATATAAACAATGCATATATTATTTATTTATAGTTGTACCATTATTTTTCTTCCAACAACGGTAATAGTATTAGACAGCAATGCTGGTCATGCTATATCTGATACCAACGTAAAGTTACAAGTTTTCTATGTGAATTTTCAAAGTGTTGAATTTCGGATCAGACATTCTCAGAGAAACATAATAGATTCTATACTTTCACACATCACATATCCAAGTTATTAAGATATACAGTAAAGTTATTATTAGTACATTTTGAATATATATATATATATATATATATATATATATATATATATATATATATATATATATATATATATATATATATATATATTAACAAAGTCTAATAATCGGGCATAACATCAATAAAAAACATGAATTTCTTTCAAAAATTTATTTTAAATCCATACGTTTCGGCTATAATCCTAGCCTTCATTCAGTGGAAACTAAAATTAAAATTAAAAACTAAAACAATTGAATTGGAGTGAAAAGAAAAAATAAAATAGTAATTAGTACTTACAATTAGTTGATCTTAGTGTTAATTTGGAAAACTTTAATAATCCATGGTATTAGGATATGGTAATGCACTACACTATGTATTATAAACATTAACTTGAAATTACACAATATTTTCACAAAATACTGATTTGAAAAAATCACAAATGGATAGTGTGTTATTCGTAGACTGGTTGAAGATGTAATGGAGAAAGACATTTTTTTAAAAAATATTTTTACCAAGATTCTGCACATGTGTGGAACGAATTGTAAAACCTTTGCGCGAACGCTTTTATTGTTTTGTAAGAAATTTGGAAATGTTATCTAAATAGAAGAGATTTGTGTCGCACAGCGTGTTGAGTTCATTCCGTTTATTTATTGTCTTATTGTTATAAATAGTTAAAAAAGATCCCTCTATAATTCTTCGTTTAAATAAATTTTGTTCAAATTGTAGTACAGTCGGATTAGAAAAGTCCATATTGTGCTTTAAAGTGTATATATGGTCTGCAAGAACAGTTTTGAATTGTTTGGGGTTTTTTGAATTGTTTTTATGTTGTTGTAACCGTTTATTGAGGTTCTGGCTAGTTTCTCCTATGTAAATAAATTACAGTCTAAACAATTTATTTTTAGACGTATATATATAAATCGTATATAAATAAAAAAGTTCAGTTATATATAAAGATTATTTATTTCTCTAAAATACATACTGTAAAAAAATTAAGCTCACGTTTTCTCTTGAAGGTCTTTTTCATAAATTCTACTATCTAATACACAGCATAACACTTCAGTTTAGAGTTAACTATGAATTCTTGAAGATAAGAGATCATGAATGATTCATCATTTTAAATAATATAGAGAATAGCATTAAACTTAACATTAACAAACTGATTTTACAAAATACTGCGCATTATATTTTACTTAACGTTCATCCGTATTTTCATCTTCCTTTAAATGTAATAACTTCACAACAAAACGTTCTTAAATATCAAACGGATATAAAGCCTAATAAATCAATTGTTAACGAGTTCTTTCTCTATTGATGAAATATTTATATTATTAGATAGTTACATTTATAGAAAAACAATTATTTAACATTTATCCAAAATTATGAATTGAATATGTTTTACGCAGGCCTTGTGTCCATTCACTATAAAGTTTATAAATAAATTCTGCGAAGGTCCAGGGGGCTAGTAATCATATTACATTGGGGACATAATTTCTTTGCTCCCAATGTATGCAGCCAGCATTCCTCACAATGAACATGCCAACAGCACACTGAGACTACAGCATTTTTATATGAATCCATACATATTAAGCACTTATATTGTTCACCAGACTCTCGATCTGAAATTTTCACTTCAAGCTCTCGAATTTTAGCTTGCAATGCATCCATTGTAGGATTTTTACTTACAGTAGAAGGAATTTCAGAGGAAAGAGAGCCAGTAATATTTTTATTAACTACTACAACCGCCTCTGTAGGAGGTTTGCCTGCAATGTTTTCCAATAAAGCACCGCGAAGTGCTTGAAGTTCTTTAGCTTCTTGTTGACTGTCTACAGTTGGCACTACCACATCACTTTCAGAATATTGAGGGGGTCCAAAAGTGGAAGAATCATCTCCGTCTACAACAAGATCCTCATCTTCGCTACTTGCGTGACACTTTGATATTGAAGTGCCAACACCAGCACTCTGGTAACCTCCTACGAGTAAGCTAGAAGCTCTTATTCGTTGCTGGCCTGCCCACTCGTACTCTTCAAAACTCTCGCCGTCACCTTCGACATCGATATTTTCATCGTCAGGGGAATCGGAATTCTTCCTAAGACAAAGTTCAACATGGACTGATATGTCATCATTGGTACGCTCATTGCACACAGGACAAAGTGTACCATCGGCCTTTCTTTTGCGAGTATTAGCCTTCAATCGGCTTTGTCTATTGCTTTTAATTTTCTGGAATGTATCCCATGAATTTTCTACCGTGTTAACACTTGTAGACCCATTTTCATTAGAACTGGATCCTAAGGAAGCTTTTCTTGTCCTGCAAGTGCTAAGTTTATTCAATTTTTCCATTTCTAACACATAATGAGATTCCAGTTCAGGAGTTCGCAAGGTAATTCCACAAACGGGACAACAGGAGAAATCGGATAGTTTTCGCCTTGTACGAAAACCACGACCTTCTTCAACAGTAGTAGTGGAAGCCAAATCCATATCACAATATGGACAATATTATACGATTGATGAAATAAACACGGATTTTCCAAATTTTTGCATAGCTAACATTCATGCAAGATGAGTAAAACGTTTGTTTGTTTCGAAATGTTTAACATCGTAGTACTAAAACCACAAGTAGTTAAGATCACAATGTTAACAATATATTTTTAACGTCAACATCTTATATTATCTTATAGCTTTATTATGATGCAAAATTATTATATTATAAATAACATGGGCATTGGAAAATAGTTGTCAACCATTTGGGGTGTACTTCACGTGTATTTATTAAGAAATCGTTCTTCCCGTAGATTAAGGATGATATAGATCGAACACTCAAACACTCGAACTGTATGCGACTAGAACATAGATGACAGGAAAATATGGACCAGAACAAAATGCGCATTGATAATTTATTGATTTATAAAATAGTTTGCCTTCAGGCAAGTTACATGAACTTCCCGATACGTGTAAATAAACGACTTAATCGATAAAAAATAAATTAATTTATGAGTGATTAAAAGTATTCTGAGTGGATTTATTACATATCATTGAAAACGAACGAACACGTTAACTCGGATTATTTTCTAAATTCAAATGTTCAAAAATCAACATTTTTTATAATTGAACCACTTTCCGTAGGACTTTAATGGTTTAGTATGTTCATTAAGACCAATTACTCTATCGTTATACCAAGTAAATCGTCTAGTTTTAATTTTAACAAACGTCAAAGAAACTGCTCATTTTCTCAAACTTTGATGAATTTTTAAAATTAAACCACTTGTAAGGCGGCAATATTTCAGTAAGTTTTATAAGACCATGATATATATCGCCAAAAAAAGTTCCTTAAAAATCGGCTGAAATTGTTTTTTTTAACAGTTAATTACAAGAAAACAGCTCGGTAGATTTTCACCTAAAACTAATCAGTATCATTCCCAATTAATATTATTCGAACAGTTTTTGATTTTTCAAAATCGATTCGGTAGTATGAGCTTAAATGTGGACGAAAAGTTTAACACTTTTTTCCAAATTACAGAGAAACGGCTCGGCCGATCGTCGCACAAAACTGAGAAATGATAATTCTCATCAAGATACATCAAATGGCTTTTAAATTTCTGAAATCGGTTCAGGCATTTTTGAGCAAACGTCGATGAAAAGTCTAATGTTGACAAATTCTAAAAAACAATACCAATTTTTGCAAACTTTGACGAATTTTTATAGTTAAACTAGTTGTCGTAGGGCCGTAATATTTTAATATGATCTATAAAACTATGGTATCTGCCACAAAAAAAATCATAAAAATCGTCTAAAAAAAAAGGAAACACTTTATTACAAGAAAACGGCCCGGCCGATTTTCACCAAAATCTAATCAGCACGATTCCCAATCAATACCTTTCAAACGGTTTTTGAATTTTCAAAATCGATTCAGAATTGCGGGCTAAAACGTGGACAAAAAAATTTTCACTTTTCTGCTATCTATAAAGAAACGGCTTGGCCGATCATTGCACAAAACTAACAAACAATAGTCCTCATCGAGGTACCTCAAATGGCTTTTAAATTTTTGAAATCGGTCCAGCCCTTTTTGAGAAAACGTCGATTACGGCAAAAAATCTGTTCATACACACACGCACACATACTTTTTCCAAATTTGGTCTCATTCGATTCAGAATGGCTTATAATTAATGGCTTATATTAAAATATATAAACTGAATTGCAAAGTTGAAAATATTTGTTTAAAGTATATTAGAACTTAAGTCAGAATTACAATTAAAATCTGAATTATTTTCGATATACAAAAAAAAAAATTTGAAAAAAAAAATTAAACAAACATTTTTTTCCCAAAAGCAATTATTTTGTTAAGAAAGTTCTTTGAATTATTCAAATCAGACGCTTAGTTTTCTCAAAAAGTGACATTTTTTGCACATTTAGCTCTGTATCTCCGAAACCGCTGGACCCGTCTTTGCCAAAAACTAATCACCACTTCTCCCCGTCATTACGAATTGAATGTTTTTTGGATCATTCAAATCCGATGCTCCGATCTCTCAAAAACTCAATTTCTATTTTCTGCATTCTTTGCTCCGTATCTCCGAAACGGCTGAACATGCCTTCGCCAAAAACTAATCAGCACATCTCCCTATCAATAGGAAGCGAATGTTTTTTGAACCATCCAAATCGGTTGATCCGTGCGCCCGAAAACGTGGACGAAAAATTTTATCCATACATACATACACACACACATCCATTTTGTCTGAGGTATGCCAAATTGTTCAGAAACCTTCAAAACGTCGAGAAATGGAAAAATTTCAATTTCGATTTTTGGACGATTACAATAACTTACCCTACGGGAAGTTAAAAATATACCTGACCTTGCTAAAAATTAATCACACTTCTCCCCATAATTACGAACTGAATGTTTTTTGGATCCATACTCTTCTTTTATCTATGTTTGGATCATTCAAATCGGATGCTCCGTTCTATGTAACTACAATATAATACTATATTATTCATGCAAACTGACATACCTTTAAATGTACCTGCAATCTAAGGCTCCTGAGGCTACATGATTTCAATTCTTATAAACTCAAATTTAACAAGAACCCCGGTTATCTAATTTTAGCACCATTCACAGTAAAATATCAAAATATGTTAATAAAACATGAAAAATATATACCATAATAGTTATATGAAGACGCCATTGTCAACATGTCACAATTGTCAACTATTAAACTATCAGGGAAACAGCCACATTTGAACAACTTAATGCCGATTAAAAAAAGCAGGGGCGAATTCTGACACAATGATAAAAAAATACTGATATGATTTAAAATATTTTATTGAAAAAATAAAGAAAATTAAAAAGGATTCAATAGCTTAGATAATCTAAACATAAAACTAGCGGTGCATGGCAACGTGCCTTAAGGCAAATTGCTGGAACTTTCCGTATCATAATTTAAATTTTTTAGAAGTTTTACAATATTTTGAAAACTTTGAAAAAACTTGATTTTTCAGAATTTTAAAATTTTTGAAAATGCTAGATTTTAAAAAAAAAAAATTTGATTGGAAAGTCAATGGAATAGCATGTTTTTAAATCATTAAAATCGGTTGATTTTGAGTTTGCTGAAAATTTGTATCCGCACACACATACAAACATACACGCACGCACACACAAATAAATACACACTCCTACACACACGTTCTATAAAAGAGAAAGAGCCAATGGGACTTCGCTCATTTAAAAGATAAGTATAATTTCAGTGCAAGAATGATAACATTCTAGATCCTCCCGCCACAAAGTAATGCTTCGCGGCGGGCCAGTGGCAAGAGGAAAGCGGAGGTTTTTGGTCGGTCCAGACAAAAGACCAGACTGGGGTATGCCAAAATGTTCAGAAGTCTTTGAAACAAAGATATATAAAAGAATATTATTAATTTTTTTGTTGTTGTTACTACAACTTATTCCAAGGAGAGTTACCAATCCTCTAATAACTCGTCTTAGCTCATATTGTAAGATAAACAATAAATTGAACTCGTAATCAAAAAAGAGTGTTAAGCTTTTAAACAACTGTATTTTTCATATATAACAACAAAATATATACAGCAAATCAAACCCAAGAACAATTATAAAACAATATTAATTCTGATCGTTTCAGGCTTTAATATATCTATAAATATATGTAAATTAAATACTCAGGAATGGTAACAAAATTTTTGGAATGACAGATAATAATAACAATAATATATTACTTCACCAAACTTAATAAAACCTTATGTTCACTAAATAATATTTTAATCCCAACTCTCATAAAACTACAGTTCATTATAATAATATCTGTTAACAAATCTATTACCGTATTTAACTGTAACCACAAATTATAACGTAATTAAGTGAATCTAACTTATTCTATAAAACAAATAAAATATAACACTCGACACCCTCCACTTATGAAATCACAAAATTAACAACTGTGTAGAAATAGTTAATACTTAAACTAATATATTTTATAATTAAGTCTTTAGAATTTTTTACTCTTCATCATGGTTTTGCTAAATTTAATCACTATTCTTGATATAAAAAATCACTTCAACATTTATTATCTATGGTATAAAACTTTTACTATGCAGTATCATTATTGTACAATTTTACTATTTACACATTATTTTACAATTCTGGAAGACTTTTTATAATTAACTTTGATTCAATGCTAGTGATTACTAATATAACTATCCTTTCAACAACTAAATCATTAAAGCATGCTATCAAAATTTGAGGCAAGTCGATAACATGTAAATATATTACTTGAGTGATACTTTAACAAACATCAAATTTGACTAAAGTATCAATATTAGTTTAATTCTTATTTTAACCCATATTAGCCAGTACTTTTCTATATCTTTGTTAAAGTTGTATGTGACTGCATTTCAAAACTAGATAGTATATTTGATATATTATTCAATATATTACAAATTATACAAGTAAAAACTTCTATGCAAATTATCACAAAAACAATGTATCTTTGCATTTGACACATCATCGAGAATATTTTTAATTTTTTATTGTGACTCGTGAGTTAAGAAAATAGTTGCAGGTTCTATAGAAAGTAGTTGCAGGTTTTGTAGAAATGTTCAAAATAAATATTGTCAATATGACAAAAAAATTGTTAGTCAATCACCAGTTTTTAATTGCATTTGTCATCTTAAGCAATATTCTAAAACTATTTATTAATAAACACATTTTACAAATACCTCGCTCATATTAATTGAAATGTTGAAAAAAACATAAAAGTTATGCAATTTAGCAAAAACAAAGAACATCATAATTATATTTCACATTCAATATCAATTTAAAAGTAGATCAAATGGCTTAGAGCATTTTATTGTTAGGAACACTAATAAATTATTTTGATCCAGTTTGCTTAATACTTTAATCACATACTTTTAGATTTAATATTTTTATAAAAGGTCAATGTATCATGCCGATTATTAACAACACGTTCTGCTATTGGTAATGATCATTATTATAATTTTGTCTAAATTAGTCAAACATCAAAAATTTGTCTAAATTAGTTCATTGAAAACAAACTAATGGTTTAAATATAATAGATATAGTAAATAAATTCATATACATCAGCTATAGATTTTGGTTATACTTTTTGACTTCATGATTAAAATTTACAACATTGCACTTAGTTACTTATTTTCTTTATTGCACATTCAGTATTTAATAAATTGACCTTTCGAATAAAAAATATCCGTTAAGCAAGATTTATGAAGATTAATATTACATCAGTTTATTAAAGCACTTAAATATTGAGTAATTTATTATTTCTTCTAATAACAGTAAAAAGGTTTTGACAAAAAATATTTTTTCTATGAAAATGCACTATACGTATTTTTCGATTTTGAAATAATATTGTGGAGCAAAGCTGAATGTAATCTGAAATATATAGTTTCTATTATTACTATTATCATAGCACAAACCTTTTTTGAACTACAAACTAAAATATTTTATAGATAACATTTTATAAATTAAGATTTCAAATATAAGGAATCTATGACCAATGTATTAAATGTTATGAAACCTCTCATGCAATTTGCATTTGATAATATTTAGGCCTACAATAATAAGGCATTTTTATAATACTTAGATGATATAATGACAATATAATTTCAAGATGATTGTCGTCATCAACATAAACAAATATATATATATATATATATATATATATATATATATATATATATATATATATATATAGTGTGTATGTGAGGGACTAGAATGCTGTTGATATGCCACAAGAGACATTCAGTAACCTGGGCTGTAAGAATATAGTATACTATTAGGTACAAAAAAAAATGTTTGAACTATTTTGAATTAGTTCTGGTCAAAAAATTAACAGAAATATAGCACAGAAGCCCACATTAAAAATTCTACAGGTGCTATTGTCCGATCACATCAAGGAGATTTATATTCCATATATATTTCTACTTGGTGATTTTGAGTACAGAAATTATTGTACTATAATTATTGTAATGAAGAAGTAGCAATGACCAAAACTTTTCATAAAACATCAATTAAATGAATAAAAAGATAAAACACAATATCATCAAATATTCTTAATAATATGGTGTCATATGCATACTTAATAATGAAAACTTTATTCAAGTATTATAAATTTCTTCCAAACTCTCCTCCAAAATCGTACTAAAACACAAACTGCATTCTAATCCAACATACAATCACATATATATATACATATTGTTTTTGCTAATATTATAATAAACGAGTAACATTAACTTTTCAATCTATTATAATATACAATTATAACTAAAATTACATTATGTATTGATAGTGAAATTTAACAAGAAAATATCAAAGTTTAAAATTTGTCAACAATTTGATATTTTGTTATTCAAACTTTCATCAAAATTTGTAGAAAGCTATTTTCCTAGTGAACATACCTGTAATGCTGATATTTTAAACAGCTATTTTAAATACAAATAACTTGTTGCTGTAAATGATATATGCAAAATTTTTCTTGTAAATTGATATACATCAATCGAGGTTGTTATGAAAACAAATCGCATTTTATATTTAAATTTGCATAATACAATAAAGAAACATTCAGCCTCACTTATTGCATACAGGATTCTAAAAAGTAATTATCAGTAAATAATATTCAACAAGGTTTTGAATGCAATTTCTTATTAATAATATTATGATTGGTACCATAATATTCCATGCAAAAATTCCAGTTATTCAAAACAGGTGATGTTTACAATAACGTGAAGAAAAATTTAACTTAAATTTTTATTATTAATAAATGTTCTAATATTGAGCACTAGGATGTGAGCACTGATACACAGCTTTTAGTAATTATTCTAACATAATCGAATAATTCATATAAAAAACATTTAACACTTAAGATTTAGTTGTAATATATATATATATATATATATATATATATATATATATATATATATATACATACATATATTGTTTAAATTTTATTTGCAATATATTTATTAAATATTGCATATACATATATTTCAGTGCAGCAAATGTTAAGGCACTTATGAAAAGACACTATTCAAAATCTGGTTTATAATTGGCAGTTATTGACAGCCATTTGATTATTACAAAATACATATAAAACTAAAGTGTTTGTTCAATGAATTATTAAATTGAACTCTTCATACAAATGTGATGTAAAATTGCAAACATCAATCTTGATAAATTGTACAATCAATTTTGCACAACTCAATTGCTTTTGTACTACTGATAATTTTCGCCTATTACCAGTAAAAGAAACAATCAAAAAGTTGAATCAGTTTCTAAAGAAGGTTCTTGTTTGAAATTCATTTTATATGCTACATCATCCAAATTGTGCAAATGATTATTATTTGATTGTAATTCCTGCATACTGCCACTTCGGACACTTGGTATATCGCAAATTATTTGAGCAGGATGAATTGGGGCCAGATCTGGGCTGGATATCTGATGATCTGATACTGTTGGGCTATGGCTGCCCGATGGACTGCCTGGAGAATTAGTGCTGGGACTTTGGTAGTCGTTTACCATAGGAACTGGCGATACATTTGATGTGTTTGAATCAGGAGTAGCTCCTTGAACAAATTAAAATAAGCCTTTCAATTTCCTCAACATATAAATTTGTTAGCATGATAAAAAAAACAAACTAAATAGCAGTGTCGTCCAAATGGAGCTCATGACGAGTATATTCGTCAATCAAAGAGTGAACAGCGCTGGCAAAGAATTGAATGAAGAAGTTGGGTTTGGTTCACAAAGTAGAAAGATGTTTTTACTATATTTCATTTATTTGTTACCATTAGCATTTATAACATAAATATTAAACTAAAAACGAGTTAAACTTAATATAATATCATACATGCAAATGTAGTTACTTACATATATATACTTACATATATATTATAGTTTATTTGATGAAAAGCAAAACTATTTTAAATAATCAGTAAAATGTTATTTAAATAGCTGAATCTTAATTCTTAATTGATTAGAATATATTATTTCAACATGTTGGAAAGATCATGCAACTTGCTTCAAGTTAAAAAGCCACTAGCAACTATTTATTTTATAATTTATATTATTTATTATATTTATATTTATACAGTCATAGCCACAAAAATAGCAAATGGTCACACCGTTTTATACGCATGATGAATATACTGGCCAATATATGCCAATATATAAAATTCTGCCACTTCTACATGACAAGTTTGTTCATCAATCACAGTTCATCAGAACATATTCTCAAATTTCAGCATATTTGGAATATTTTGAGACTATGCCGGTATCAAATAGTAGTTGTAAATAGCTTAAAAAATCGACTTGATAGTTAGGAATTGAGATTTAGCTATTCAGAAGAAAAATTTTAACCGTTCATTTCAAAACTTGTCGATGATATTTTCAAATGGACTCATAATATCTATAATAATATTAATTTAATTTAATTTATTTAATACATTTCATTCTAAAAATGTATTTTATATTATGTAAGAGTGCACGTCAACAGTGATCAGTACAAACACAGAAGTAGATATATATGTTTGTGCGATGCATGTTCTAAGAAAGCGTAATATATGTTTAAATTAATCAAGAAAGTAAAATTTTGTAATAAAATTTTCAATTTTGTAAAATAAACCCATCTTTTCATCCGATATTTTACCAGCGCAACATACTGTGTTGTTGACAAATATACTCGTCATGACTAGATACTTACGACACAAAACAGTGCGCCCTATGTAATGGGCGCACCACAGTTAACTGGTGCGCCCAGTACTTGAAACCAACATAAATTTCCATAATTTAATTCTTTCTTGAATCACCCAAGTTCTTAACTTAAGTATTCATAATTAAACTAAATATAAAAAATCTAATAAGCCATGCAAAGATACTCACCACCAAGTAACATTTCTTGCAATAAGCTGTCTATGTGGGCAACTCCAAAAAGTTTGGCAAATTGAATTTGTTCAATCATCTGCCATGTGATTGACTGAAGTGCTGGTAGCGTTAACAATATTTCACCAAATCGTCCTCTAGAATCGTACTGTCGATCACTAATATAGTCCTCTAGGTTAATTTGAATTTGGTATCTAAGAGCTTTTATGCGATTGGGTTCGCTAAGTCCTTTTGCATCTGTAACATAAAAGAAAATGTAACAAAAAATCTATTGAATTATCTCCCTAGTTTATATTCTTTTCAACTTTCCGTAGGGTACGTTATTGTAATCGTCCAAAAATCGAAATTGAATTTTTTTGCATATATTCGCGTTTTGAAGGTTTCTGAACATTTTGGCATACCTTAGAAAAAATAAATATGTGTGTGCAGTGGCGGCGCTAGACCATTCGTGGGCGTCGGCGAAATTCGTTTGCGAGGCCCTTCTTTTTTGCCAGTTGCAAGTTGACTAGTGGTACATGGCATCGTGCCTAAAGGCAAATTGCTGAAACTTGTCGTGCCGTAATTTAAATTTTTGAAAAGCTTTAAAAAAATTTGAAAAGTGAAAGAAATTGACTTTTTTTAATTTGAAATATTTTGTTGAAAATTTCGAACTTTTTTCAAAGCAATCACGTTGCGTTAGCTGCTTAGAGACGAAATATCGAAGCGCGTAAACACCGCGTTGCAGTCTAACTTAACTCACTATTAATTAAAATCTTTATAAAATATCTGATAATTTGATGTGCATATGCCAAATGGCATTTGTTGTGCTTTATTTACTGGACTTCCAAAACCGCTAGACCTGCCTTCCTAAAAATGTAATTAGTTTAGCACTTTTTGCCCCGTATCTTCAAAACGGCTTCTCCTGCCTTTGCCAAAAACTAATCAGCACGTCTTCTTACCTTCAATACATGTCAAATGTTTTCTGAATTTTTCAAATTGGTTGATCCATTTTCGCGAAATCGTCGACAAAAATTTGCCAAAATGTTCAGAAATCTTTGAAGATATATAAAAATTTCTGTTTTAGATTTTTTTGCGATTACTATAACTGTATATGAGATTTTTTTAGTCAGATAAATACACCAATTGAAATAGACAAAAATTACACAAGTTAAAATAAACAAACTCTTCGGCAAAAATGGTTCTCCAGCTATTAGAAAAGCACTGAAATTAAATAATTATCGCGAAAAAGTTTCCTTTTGCCCAACCATTTGAGTAGCAAATTTTATGTTTTTTCGATCATTATGAATAAAAAATGGTTGGAAATCACCGACTTAATAACTAATTAGACAAAAATTTTGCAATCTGCAAGTGATTAATTAGATTTAAAAAAATCTATGTTCATACTAATTTGAGTACA